CGGTCCTTGTAGCCATAGGAGCATATATTTACAATATTGATGATATGTCTTGGAGAGGCATGGCAACTCAATGAATTAATCTTCTGCCAGTTATCATAAAATGTATGTGCATGGTAGTTCTAATAATATTACCTTTATTACAATAAGTTGTTCAGATATTTATTTGGAATGGGATTTCAAATGTATATTTTTTTTTTTTATCATATGATTCATTTTCTAACGTCTTAAGTTGCAACTAATTTATTTGAATTGTTTTGTTGCCGGCTTGCTTTTGGTGTTAACAGCAAAGGGTAATGTGGCCTTACGATTTTGTAAATGACATTGTCATTATATTTTCTTTTGGAATGCTTTCTATATTATTTTGAATCTTAAAATTATTATTTTTGCTGATGTCCTCTAAAGAGGCAAAGGGCTAATGCCAGGCCACGACATCGGAATGGCCGACCAAGAAGAAACAGAAAAAGGACGAGGCCTTAAAGAAAAAAACCCCCGCTGCTTCTGTCCATTTTGTGCCGTATCCTTCGTTGCTGAATGCTACTCCTCTTGTTCATGAGGTTTCTCAACAGGACAAGGCAATGCGTTTGGCTGACCATGAGATCTTTTTCTTTCAAGGGCAAATTGCAGCAATGAAATGGGTGAAACCCCAGGCTTATTTGGACTTCATTGGGAAGGAATTGCTGGAGGACGATGCTGTTGCCCAACTTCTTCTCAACATCTGTTCTTTAACCCAAGCTGAAGCTGCCAATAAGAGCTGGCAGGAAAAAACATAATTGCTATCTTTCTTCCATGGATGCTCAGTATGCTAGCTTGATGGCTGCAATCTAAAATGCTCATGCTACAATATGTTCCATAAAAGCTGAAAGAGAAACCAAGCAGGAAACGTTTGCATGTGAAAATGCCAGAGAAGTTGTGGAGTGTTGAAGATACAAATGCATTGTGGGCACATGATAGTCTCAGTAATATAGTGGAGTGCACATGGGTATTGTAAGCTGGTAGTGTGCAATTGTGGGAGCATAGCTAGTTGCTGTAACTGTATTTTATTCCTACGTGTATAGTGTAGGTTGAGTTAGTTTTTTTCTTTTTCTTGCTCAACACTCCAAGTGAGTGTATATATACTATATTCTCTTCACTGTAAATTGCATCAAAAACTTTTCATAAGTCTTTCTATTTTCTAACTTGGTATCAGAGCTTCAATGGCTAACACTAGATCCAGCGACAATGTACAATCAGCTCAGCCAGCTTCTAGCACATTGATACCTCCAATGTTGGGAAGAAAGCAGATGTCAACGTTTGGGATAAGCCTTACTGATGTGATATGGATTAGGCCCGAAATGAACGAGAATTTGTTGGTTTTGAATCAAGGCGTCGGGACGAGAATTGGAGTTGATTCAGGCCACATAATTATTAATTTGAGCATTGGAGTTCAATATGATGGGGTTGACATGTCAAGTGACATTAAATGAAGGGGGTCGAAGACTGGAACCAATTGGAACAAGTGTCACGAGCGGCTAAAGTTTGGGCCAAAACCGAGAAGCTATGCGGTCGCAGGTGCGACATGGGTTGCGACCACAAGGACACCTACAGGGAAACTAAGGGTAGCGTTCGGGAGAACCATGCGACCGTACATGGAAATACCATGCGGTCGCACAGTTGATTGGCGAGGCAGAAATTTCCTTTACGCGCAAGAGAGTTTTATTTTAGTTAAATTTCTTGTTTTTGGAAATTTTATTATTCTAGGACTCTATAGCACGTTTTTTATATTATTTCCTAGGATTTTATTCCTTTTAAAATTAGCTTTATATTTCTAGTAGAAATAGGATTATTTCTCATTGTAATTTAGAACTTTGATTATGAATTGAATGAGAATTCTCTCTTTCGAAGCTTTTGCTTCAAACCTTTGTTCTTCGGGACTTTGAACTTATCAAGGGATTCGTTTGGGATTTCTTGTGGCGTTCGCAACCTTGGGCGAGGTTCTTAAATTGTGTAATTAGGAGGTCTTCGATTTAATAAATCATTGGTTGTCTAATTCATCGTTTAGGAACTAAATCCGTAAATTTCGAATCAAATTGGCGTTCTTGGGATTGGTGTTACTCTCGTGTGGGTTCGATAGTGTTCGTTGCTATCCGGGTTCACATCACTTACCCAAATACCACCAATGAAGCTTGATAGGACCAACTTCCTGCTATGGAAGAATATGGTTATGCCCATCATTAAGGTTTATAACCTTGAAGGATTCATCCTAGGAACAAGAAAATGGCCACCAAAATTCATGGGAACACAAACCACAGATACCACTGATGTAACTGTTGAATTGACACCAAATGTTGAGTATGGAAGGTGGATGTCTACTAATCGACTACTGATGGGTTGGCTTTATTCATCAATGACACCTGAGATTGCCATGAGAGTAATGGTGTCTTCAAGCTCCTGCGATCTAAGGAATGCAGTCCAGGAAAGTTTTGGAATTATGAACAAGTCAAGAGTAACATTCCTTATTGGAGAACTTCAGAGAACAAGGAAAGGATCAATGAGTATTGATGAATATCTCAACACAATCAAGCAGTTAGCAGATAATCTCGAGATTGCTGAAAAAAGTGTTCCTCACAATGATCTTGTAACCCAAGTATTAGCTGGCTTGGATGAGGATTACACTCCTATTGTGGTCCAGATCAACAGTAGAGTTCATCTCCTGGCATGAGTTGTAATCTACACTTATGACATATAAAAGCAGGATTGAACATCTTAATGCTGTGAAAAACAGCATGGCCTCAGTAAACTTAAGTCGCAGTAAACTTTTTTCACAAGCCAAACATGAACAGATGAGGTAGGTCTAACTTTGGTGGAAGAAATAGTAACTACAGAGGAGGAAGAAGCAGAGGAATAGGAGGCAAGCAACCTAGTAGAAAAGGGTCATGTCAAATATGTGAAGTGGGAAATCACTCAGTCGAGAGGTGCTTCAATCAGGTACATGGGTACAAAACTTGACCAAAAGTATCAAAACAATCTCTAGACCAGCTACCTTTGTAGCTTCCCCAAGTATTGTTACAGACCTAGCCTGGTATGCAGATTTAGGAGCAAACAATCACGTCGCTACTAAGAAAGGAAGTCTGACTGAAGCACGTGAGTATGGTGGTAAGGAAAATCTTATTGTTGGAAATGGAAATAAACTTCATATCTCACATATTGGCACCAAGCACTGAATGACAAGTCAATGATACTCAGTAACACATTACTGGTGCCATCAATTAAGAAAATTGAGGAAGTGGGGGAACAATCTGGAGACAATTTAAGGGGATTCAGTTGGTCAATTGAGGAAGAAAAAAGAAGAAAATTCAGCCGCCAAAGATAAAACCTTGAGGAAGTCGGCCAAACACATAATCTGGTATAAGAGCAAGTGGGTGGCTGGGAGTGGGACCTATTTTTGAAGGAGATGGCCCACCCATAAATTTCAAGAAATAAATCGAGAGGCGTGGAAATATTAAGGGAAGAATCGATTAACACTTCAATTTTTCTTTCCTTCTTTATTATGTTTTCCATCATAATTTGTATGAATTTCACGTTTTATATTATGAGCTAAATAAATTTTCTAGGGTTTGAGATAGCCGAACTCGATATTATGGTTTGATGAATTTATTAATTATTTTGTTTGATTTTCTCACGTAAATTTAATTGTATAATGATTTTAATGCTTTCAATTGTCTGATAAACAATTGGATAATTTGATGCTAGTCAATTCTGGCACTCGAGAGGGAGCATTTAGGCGTGATTGTAAGATTGATACAACATAGATTTTATAGGTTTCGAGAGAAAGTATAAAATCTGTGAAGTTTACTCCACAAAAGGATCAGAACTTTTATAAATTCTTGATTTTCAATTTCGAACAGAGATGTTGGAATTGGGATCTAAGATTAATTTCTAGCCGGTGCTCGAGAGAGAGGATGAAAAACGTATTAGGATTCTTGCCTTTAAATATGGAAAAATTAATCGGAATAATTGAAAATCTTTGAATCGTAATCAAGAGTTAGGTGAAATCAATCCCTAGGCTTTCTCATTTGATAATTTGTATTCTCCAAATTTGTCGATCCAATCACGTTAGATTAGTTTAATTCATTCACTCATAAAGCATTCAAACATTCAACCATTCATTTGTCTGAATAAAGTAGAAATTACATAATTATAGTACTTAGTGAAAATTAAATTACAATCCTATGGGTTCGACATCCTAGCTTCAAAATTATATTACAAAACTTGACACCGTACACTTGCAGTTAAATCACATTGTATAAATCGGTGGCACTAAGCATGTGGATAAAACAATAGAATAGAATCTTAATAGTTTAAGAAATATTCAATAAATGAGACATTATTAATTGTCCCTTGACATCTTTCTTTTTAGTCCTTGTAGCCGTAAGAGCATATATTCACAGACACAGTATTTGACATGGTGACGTGTCTTGGAGAGGCACCGCATCTCAATGAATTAATCTTGTGCTTGTTATCATAACATTTATGTGCATGGAGTTCTATTAAAATGATCCTTTTTGATATTTCTTCGAAGAGCTATGCTACAATGACAAAGAAAGATGACAAAATTAGGTTACAAAATCAAATCTACACCAATCATTTCAAAAATAGATTTTTAAATCATTTGAAATCAAAGGTTCAGATTTTGCCAACACACTTTGACACTCCACTTTTGTACACCAACTTTGTAGGAGTAGAATTATTCTAAATTTATTTGAATCATTTTGTTTCCTACATGCTTCAGGTCTTAATGGCAAAGGGTAGATCTTGCTATTTGTACATAGAGGTTTACACTTTGGTTGACACGGTCCCACCACTTCTCTCACATGGGGAGGTCAGCCCCACACATTTGGGAGTGGGACCCAACCTCTCCCATGTGAGAGGTCGGATGGGGCTGTGTCAACCAAAGTGTAAGACATCATGTACAAGTAGATTAATCATTTTTCTGATTTCCTTTACAGAGGCAAAGGGCCAATTCCGGGCCACGGACTTGGAATCGCTGACCAAGAAGAAGCAGAGAAAGGACAAGGCCCTGAATCTCTAATATTTTTTTGTCTTCGGTTTCAAAATTTTCTTTATTTCTCTGTTTCTTATCAAGGACAAGGCCCTGAAGGAAAAAACTCGTGCTGCTTCTGTCCATTCTGTGCCCAATCCTCCCGTGCTGAACACTACCCCTCTTGTTCCTGAGATTCCTCATCAGGACAAGAGGAAGTGTTGGCCGAACATGAGATCTCTTTCTTTCAGAAGCAAACTGAAGCAATGAAAGGGGAGAAACCCCAGGCTTACTTAGACTTCATTGAGAAGGCACCGCTGAGGACAATGTTGTTAAACCAGCTCCCTTCCTACCTCTGCCCAATAGCCCAAGTTGCCAATAAGAGCTGGCAGGCAAAACATAACCACTATCTTTCTTCCATGGATGCTCAGGATGCTAGCCTGATGGCTGCAATCTACAATGCTCGTGCTACAATATGTTCCATAAAAGTAGGGATGGCAGTTTTCCCCACCCTGCCCCGCCGAGTCCCTGCCCCGATGGGTTGATGGGGCGGGGCGGGGAGTGTTGCCCCGTCTCGGGTCACGAGGCGGGGCGGGGCGGGGCGGTCTTGCCCCGAATCCGCCCCGTCAAGTTTTAAAAAAAAAATCCTAATTACAAGTTTTGCAACCCTAACCTAACGTAACATTCTTCTCATTTCTCCATCCAGAGTAGCTCTCCGCCAGTCCGACTTGCAATATTCTTTTGTTTTTCAGGATCCATCTTATGTGATCTCTACTTCTGTTGATGAAAGAAGTCATGAAATCTGAAAAATGACAAATTTTGAATCAAAAAATGAATTTTAGTACAATGACAATGTAATTTTAATTGCAATTGTTCTTTTTTTTTTGACAGTGTTTGTTTCGACTTTCGAATGTTTATTTTAGACATTAACTTTATTAAAAAAAAATTATACGAGACAAGAAACGAGGCGAGGTGCGGGGCGGGGCCCCCGCCCCACTGCCATCCCTACATAAAAGCTGCAAGAGAAACCAAGCAGGAAAGGTTTGCAAGTGAAAATGCCAATAAAAGCTGCAAGAGAAACCAAGCAGGAAAAGTTTGCAAGTGAAAATGCCAGAAATGTTGCACAGCGCGCTTTTGAAGAGGAAAGGGCTAGCCATAGCCGCTCCGTGATAAACCTTACGTCAACTCTTGAACAAGCGAAGAAATATTGGGAAGCGCTGGGAGAGAAGCGTGCGAGGATTAAGGATCTGGGGCTGAAGCTTGCATCTACGGAGGCTAGGCTAAGGGGCCTAAGCTTGGAGGTGTTGGTGGCAAGCGTTATAACTTCACTTTTCTGTTTTAGATGCGACAGCATCTAAAATACTGAGAAATTAACGCTTCCAGCACCACGTCCAAAGCTTAGGATCCTTGGGTATAGCACCCTTGGGCACATTGCTCTTAGAGGCCTTCTGTGACTTGGACATCAACTCTGCTTTCTTCAACCACATAGGAGACTGAGCGAATAAATCTGATACCCTTCCCTGGTTATATCTTGGCACCACTAAATCGGCAAAGCTCTGTCCTGACAACCCATAATTAACAGGTGAGACAAACAAAAGAAAATTAACTCCAAAATTGAACGTAAAATCGATATGGAGTAGAAGCAAAACTTATACAAAGCAAGACAGCGCGCGCGCGCACACACACACACATAACAAAGCAATAGACGTTTGCGTCCTATATTTATCTATTTGACAGCATCTTCTAATTTTCAAACTAAAACAAAAGAATTCTAGATTGAAACTATAATATCCCGAAATTTTATAGAATATAATTTAATTTTATTTATGCTATATTTTTAATGTTTTGAAAGTTTAGGGACTAAAGTGTATATAAAGTAAACTTTAATAATATTTAGATTAAAATATAAATATTGACGGGACGATGATAAGAATACGGATATTGGGCTCATTGGATAGATAATAATTAAAGACGCATTTTAGACTCGAGAAAAAATTAATTTGGGTTAGTCGAGCCCAAGTTATCGAAGTCGGAAGATATAACATTAAAATATTATTTTTATTACTTTTGTTTGGAAGAATTTACTTGGAGAGAGAGATGAAAGTTGTTGAGATATTTTATTGTTTTATTATTAATAATAATATTTTATTAAGTGTGTTTTGCATTGGGAGGTCTCACGTGAAGTACTAGGATTCTAAGTAGGTGGTAGGTAAGTGATAATTGATTTGTTTATTAAATGAAATAAAGTAGAGAGAGAGAGAATTATGGGAAGCCACGTTCCTAATGGTTAAAACAAATTCCCTTGTATATATATGGTGCACTGCCACGTGTAAGATATAAATTATTTTTTTAAATTGTGGGCAGTTGGCAAGATTTGGGTCAAGTTTCTATTTCAACTATTTTGATCCATATCTCTTTCCCCACTCCCACACGTTTCCTCATTTTTTTTTATATAGATATTTTTATTATATCATATGAAAACAATAGCTTTCATTCACTTCACTGTAATATTATTGCACGATAAGGCAGAAAGAAAAGAAAAGATAGTTGCAACGTGATTTTGGGTTTTCTTATTCCAAGAAATTGTTGGAGCGTGAACCTTGTTTTGACTTCCAAAATTTAAGCAATTTAACAAAGTAGGATATGAGGTGCAGTATTTTTTTAATTTCCCGTTTAATTATTTTGGCTACATGTGGACGAATTTCATATTTATGAAAGTTAAAGTTATGATATTAATGCTATGATATGAATGATATGGCCATTCCGGTACAATGAAATGAAATGATATGATATGATGTGAGCTCTTACCGGATTTAAAGTTATGCGACGGTATGGTATTCTGACACCTGTGTTAAAATTATTTTTCGGGATCGCACCATTAATGTGATATCCCACTGAGTATTCCCATGTACTCACCCTTTTTCTACACCTCACAGGTTAGATCGGGTCCTGTTGGAGCGTGGTGGTTCGATGCGTGGTTGTGCCTCATTTGCTGGACGAGAATTTATAATTTTAACAAGTAATTTTAGTTCATTGCCATAGACATCCTATTTTAAAGATTAAGTTATCATTTATGTTTATTTGCTACATGGATGTTTTTTTTTTAAATTCATTTTAAATAGAGCTCGAACTATATGTTACTACTTTTATCGATTTTAATGGTTAAAATAAAATTGATTAACTGTCAAGTTCACATCAAAGACTTTTGCATTTTTCTAAGGCATCTACAGCCTTTTCAAGATTTATAACATGCATGGCCAAAACAATGATTCTGTACTTCACACCAAATTTTCAATTGTCTTCCTACCACAGTTAACTTTATGCAGTGGAGTTGTATTATTCATTTGTACTTTGAATTGGATTTTATAATAAAAATATTCATAACCCGTATTCACTAATCATGCTAGTATAAAAGATGTTAAATACGGTCAAATGTCATCTCATTTTAAGATGATAATTTAAAATTTATTAATCATGTGGTTTCCAATAAATTTGATCCTTTTATAATAAAGTTGGTAGCGACTAAAATAATTTTAAAAAAATAAAAATAATAATAAAAGAAAATAAAAATTTGGGTCGTTACAGTTTGGTATCAGAGCATAGGTTTAATTTCCTGTAGATCCACATGGATTCTCGTAATTTGTTTTTAAAAAAAAAATATTTGGGACGTGAAAAGTGACGGGTCACTGTTCACGCACTGTTCATGTGAACAGTGCATTAAATGGCAAAAAAAAAAAAAAAAATAGGTAAGAAACGTGTATTATAATGCCACCACCTTTTTCATCATATGGTATCTTTAAGTTTTCAAAATTTCAAGATTGCCCTTATAATTTTGTGAATGCATGCAAATATGTATTATTTTTTCCTTAAAAAAAAAAAATGTGTGATGTCATATAAATTTTGAATTTTCTTTTTTGTTACATGTTATAAAAGGCTTATTTGCTTACTTGTTTTCCTAGATAATATTTGTTTAAGGTTAATATTTTTTTTATTTATTTAAGAATTTAACGATAATATTAAATTAAAAGTTATGAAATATGTGAATGATCTTTGGCACTCAACGACCACCAATCGACCACCCTTGAACGACTCTAAGGTATGTAAAAAGGGTAAGAAGATAAATGTACTTAAAGCTTTTTGCGAGATTTAAATGCTTTAAATTTCCTATCTTTAAATGTTAAGACATGCACGTTTATTTTTCCCACTAAATTATGATATATATTGTCATAGATAATTATAACTTATTAGACTTAGTACTAAGTGTGATTGGTGACTTCATATTAAATTTTAGGAAATGGCACCACCTACTCATGCGAATTTGATGCGCAATTTACTACGAGCGGTACAAGAGTTGAGCAGGCAAAGTCAAGCACCTCCACCACAAAATGCACCGCCACAGCAGAATGCACCGCATTTTGCCGCCGGAGCTGTCTCAGTGGTTGAGCAGTTTCGTAGGTACAAGCCTTCCACTTTCGACGGTAATTCTGAACCACTAGTTGTCGAAGAGTGGATAAGAGGCCTGGAGCACATATTTCGACACATTGCTTGTATGGATGCACAGAAAGTATTATGTGCAGAATTTATGTTGATTGGAGCAGCTGGTCACTGGTGGGAATCTATTTCACGTACAAGGACGGAAGAGCAGCAACGTAATCTGAATTGGGAGCAGTTTAAAGATGAAGTGATGGCAAAATATTTCCCACAGGCTTTGAGAGACTTCAAGGAATCAGAATTTTTGCAGCTCAGACAAGGGAGTATGTCACTTACTGATTATGAAAGACAGTTTGAGCAGCTCTCAAGGTATGCCACACACTTGGTGGATGCAGAAGTTAAGAAGATTAGGAGGTTCGAGAATGGACTGCGCCCTGAGATCGGCATGATCATTATGTCCCATCGTTTCACCTCATATCGTGAAATGTTGGAGAGGACTCATGCTATTTCATATCAGAGGACCTCATTTGAACAGTATGCCCAGCAGAGCAAAGAGTCATCGGGAAAAAGAAAGTGGAATGATCCAAACAAGGACAGACGTAATTGGCAGAGTAAAAGGCCAAACACAGGAGTTCGTATTGGTGGAGCGAGTGGGAATATTACACCGTGTCCTAAGTGTAATAAACTCCACAGGGGTGAATGCTTACTCGGGAAGAACATGTGTTTTCGATGTGGTAAGCCAGGGCACATTGCTCTCAACTGTACAGAGCCACCAAAAAGGAAGGATGATGATCAGGACAAGAACAAGAAAGGAAAGGCCCGAGTTTTCGCACTAAATCAGCATGAGGCGGAGCAGGATCCGAATGTGATAGCAGGTACTAAATTATTTAATATTTTAACACACTTGCTTATGTTCTTTTTACTGAATCGGCATGAGGCGGAGCAGGATCCGAATGTGATAGCAGGTACTAAATTATTTATAATTTTAAAACACTTGTTTATGTTCCTTTTTTTTTACCTAGGACTACACATTTTTCCAAATCCGTCCCTTGGTTGTTAGTCTAACACTATAAATTATGCAAACAGGTATTCTGTTATTATCTGATGTACCCGCTTACATACTTTTTGATTCTGGGGCTACCAATTCTTTTATCTCTACATCCTTCGTCGCTAGGTCAAACCTTGCATGTGTGAAAACGAATTATGAATTAGAGGTTAGCATCCCTTCAGGAAGAACTCTTTGTACAAATCTGATGACTAAGGCTATGAAGTTAGAGATTGATGGGAAAATATTACAAGCAGACTTATACCTTTTGGAGATGAAAGATTTCGATGTTATTTTGGGCATGGATTGGTTGGGACTTAATCATGCGACCATTCGATGTCATGAGAAAGAAGTATTGTTTCACAAACCGGGAGAGGAAGAGTTTCGTTTCTTAGGAGCAAAGTTCAAGTCTTTACCGCGCCTAACATCAGCTATACAAGCAGAAAAGATGTTAAGGAAGGAGCCATGCCAGGGATTCTTAGTTAACATCAATAGTTCTCAACATACAGAAATGACTGTTAACGATATTAACATCGTCCGAGACTTTGCAGATGTATTCCCAGAAGATTTGCCAGGCATTCCACCAGATAGACAAGTGGAATTTACAATTGATTTAGTTCCTGGAGCGGCAACAGTTTCTAAGGCCCCGTACCGAATGGCACCGAAAGAACTACAAGAATTGAAGTTGCAATTAGAGGAGTTACTGGAGAAAGGTTTCATACGACCAAGTGCATCTCCTTGGGGAGCACCTGTACTTTTTGTCAAGAAGAAGGATGGGAGTATGAGGATGTGTATTGACTATCGGGAATTGAACCATCTGACCATCAAAAATAGGCACCCACTGCCAAGAATAGAAGATTTGTTTGACCAGTTAAGGGGTGCTGTAGTATTTTCAAAGATCGATTTGAGGTCAGGGTATCACCAGCTAAAAATCAGGGCAAGCGATATACCGAAAACTGCTTTCAGGACTCGTTATGGGCATTATGAATTTACTGTCATGCCTTTTGGTTTGACCAATGCTCCAGCTGTATTTATGGATCTCATGAATAGAGTATTCCATCAGCATTTAGATCAGTTCGTCATAGTGTTTATTGATGACATACTTGTGTACTCAAAAGACAAGAAGCAACATGAGGAACAACTTCGAATTGTACTTGAAACTTTGAGGAATGAGAAATTATATGCCAAATTCAAGAAGTGTGAATTTTGGCTTGACCGTGTAGGTTTTCTTGGTCACGTGGTTACCGCCCAAGGAATCGAAGTAGACCCCGCTAAAGTGGAAGCAGTAACAAATTGGCCAAGGCCGAGTGGTGTGGGTGAAGTCCGCAGTTTCTTGGGATTGGCTGGTTATTATAGAAGATTCATTGAAGGCTTCTCAAAAATAGCAGGGCCAATGACTCAGTTGACAAGAAAGGGTGTAAAGTTTCAGTGGACAGAAAAATGTGAAAAATGTTTTCAAGAACTCAAGCAGAGGCTAGTCTCAGCTTCTGTATTGACGATAGCTGAAGGTTCAGAGGGATTTGTGATTTACAGCGATGCCTCTAAGCAGGGTTTAGGCTGTGTACTGATGCAGCATGGAAAAGTGGTTGCTTATGCCTCGAGACAGTTGAAGCAGTATGAGCAAAACTATCCAACGCATGACTTGGAGCTTGCAGCAGTTGTTCACGCCTTAAAGATATGGCGTCATTATCTTTACGGTGGGAAGTGTGAAATTTATACGGACCACAAGAGTCTCAAATACTTTTTCACACAGAAGGAACTAAATATGAGACAGAGGAGATGGTTGGAGTTAGTGAAGGATTATGAATGCACAATTCATTACCATCTGGGTAAGGCTAATGTAGTTGCAGATGCCCTAAGCAGAAAGACAGGAACACAGTTAGCAGTTTTACCCACAGTACAGGAACACTTGATAAAGGAGTTTGATAAATTGAGATTGGAAGTTATCACGCCGCCAACTCAGATTTCAGGGAGAATAAGATTAGATATATAAGTGATTAGATCTAGTGCAAGTCGAAGTTTGTAAGTGTTATAGCCTAGATCCAATTAACCTTGGATAGAGACACTTTTAATATAAAATTGACACAATTTTATGGCAGGTCTATTATTTATTTAATATTGAATATTAAATTAAATAATATAGTCCGTATATTCAAGTCTCAATAATTTGTTAATCACAAGGAATTGTGATTGTGATATATAAATTACATATGATTGAATCTTAAATCATCTGTGGTCATAAATAATAATGAGATACGGACATTGTTATTATAGATACACCATCACATGTGGGGTTTCTTACTTGTGAAGTAAGTAGTTGATCTCACAAGCTAAAGTGTGGTGAAACTTAAATAAAAACGTGGTTATTTTGTTATAGAATAAAACATTGAAGACCTGCTGGGAGATTCCACATTGATAACTATCTGAGTATCAATATTTGATCTCTAACGTTCGATAGTGGAATTGGTCCTTCGACTTGAGATCATCATAATACCTTATATGAGGACAGTCATACTTTGGCAGTGTTAGATGTTGCTCTGCCAAAGGTCACTAATACGGTATCGTTCAGGTATGTCAAGAATCATATGAAGCTTGTGAATGATCAATCGAGGATTCGTCACTCTTAAATAGTAAGAGATTATGATTTGCATTTCATCCAGTTGGGTCGATAACAAAATCCTTGGCCAAGGTTTACCCATAAATCGAAAATGAGTTTTCGATTTGTATTTACTTAATAGTTGAGTGAAAGATATGATTGATAATCGAGATTAACACATTTTCATATCTTGTAATTAATTGGATCATACTGATGAATGTATTATAGTTTCATGATAAACGAATAAGTTTGGTTATGTCAACCACATGACAGTTTTCGTCACATGTATTGTCCTAATACATTGCTAGATGTCAATTTGGGAAAGTGTGTGTGAATTTGTGATAAATTAAAAATGGTGTTTTAATTTATCGATTTTGATTTGATCAAAATAATAATTCACGTCGTTAGGTATCGTGATTGGGAACCTGATGGGTTATACACAAAAGGAGAACTAAAAGATTGTATTTTACCAATTAATTAATTTAACAAGCGTTGGATAAATTTATTAATTGGGTTACTTATTTATTGACCCGAATTAATTGGATTAATTAGTTCATGGACTTGATTTAATTAAGTAGGTTAATTAAATCTTGAACCAATTTAGGAGACGGGCCAAGTCTGTTTGGGTTTGTATAAATAAGTGGCTAGTGTTTTGGATCTGTAGAGGTTTTATTATTCTAGCTAGCAGAAGAAAACCCTAGTTCTCACAATTTGTTTCTCTATGTGGATTTCCATTAGAAGTTATACAATTGGACAGATGTGGGAGGCAAATCAAGATTGTTGGAACAAAAGGAAAAGCAAAAGTTTGTAGAATTCTTCAAACGTATAATCTCTATCACAATTTCTATTTAAACACAAAGAGATCCTTGGTAAGAATTGAAATCTGTATTAATTTTCGCCGTGCATGTTTAAGTAAATTCCCAACATTATGTTCCAGCAAGCATGTGTTGACAATAATTTTTTCGGAACTAATTCTGGCAAACATCTAGGCCACAATAATCTTTTCTCCAATTGCAGTCAACACAGAATTTTGGTTCACAATTGGAACATGATCTTACTCTCACCAATTTTATCAGGCTTGGAATTTTTCCTAGCACTTGAACTATACGTCTACTCTTACAAACATAAAACTAATTTACGTAAAAAACATATCTTCATAAACATAATTGCAAGATTCTACTGTACTATATCATTTCCAATAAGTCAGCATAGATTATTTATTTATTTTGGTAAATAGCTTGTTTTCATTTCTACTACCCTATTGGTCATCATCAATTTCATACACGATTCTTATTGTTGCTTCACAAACTAATTAAGTCATCCAGCAATTCAATTAAATTAGGGTTGAGATGCTCTTAATTATGATAACTTTGCATCAAATAGGACTTCCCTAACAAAATTTGTAACTTAGGGGTAGGCAGAACCCATTCGTTCGATTTTCCTCATTATCAAATCAAACCAAACCAAACTTATTTTACACAAGGAACCACTTGGTGGTTCCATAAAACAGGAATTATACTTTTGATTTCGTCTTTTAATTGTAAGAAATTCATTACTTTCATAATCATCAGATCTTTCATTTGGATGATCAAGAAATTCAAGATCTATAGCTGAATCAAACATGGTTATTGTAATAATCAAATCATGTGGCTTAGTCTTCCAAATCAACACGTAGTCTCCTTTTCTCTCTGTGATGGGATGTAGAAGAGAACGAACAAAATAAAATCTCTCTATGTGTGATTCGGGGACCATAATTGTACTTATATACTAATCTCTTTTGACCTAATTCGGCCCATCATAAAATTAGGAACTTGGGCCTAGTCTATACACATATAGAACCCACACTTTAATTGGACGCATTACAGTCCAAAATCGAAGCCTTATTAAATAACTTTAAATGGCATCAACCAAATTCGATAGCCTTTAATTTAATACACAACATTTCACACATATGCCGAATTAATTAATTCACGGATCGGATTTAGTTAAATTGATTAATTAAATATTGGACCAAGTCAGACCAAACCCGTTTGGGCTTATATAAATAACTTATTAGAGTTTACAATTGTAGGGAATTCATTACTCTTGCTAGTACAAGAAGAAAATCATAATCATGCAATCTTGTTCTCTGCATGGATTATCATTGGAGGCTGGATAATTGGAAAACTGTGGTTGGCAGATCAAGATCGTTGGAACGCAAGAAAAGCAAATGAGTTTGCAGATCTAGAAAAATGTACGATTTTTTTCACAATTTCTATCTAAACACAAAGAGATTCCTGATAGGAATCGAAATTTGTTTTAATTTTTCTGCGCATGTTAGGTAGATTCCCAACATAAGACATTATCAAGTTTAAGGCAAACGAAAACATATAAATCTTACATCACTTACAATAGTGTCGAAACACCCCTACCTTAATGCTTGGAGTCTGAAATATCCTTTCGTGTCCAAAGAATAAAATACAGCGTCCTTCTTGGCCTTTTCTTTAGAAATTTCAGATTCAAAGTACTTCATGTTAATGAAAGAAAAAAAAAAAGGCGAAATAACTTTATGTAGGAGTATAATAGTTTGGGCGATAAAACATGGCTAAAGGAGGTGAAATTCGGTTTTCACAATACCATAATATGGCTTGTAAAACATAAAGGGACGGGTTTCTTTCTTTCTTCCTAGGGAGTGGCCGTGTAGTTTCTTTTCAAGAAATGGTAGCAATTTCTTTTATCAAGAAATGGCAGCAGTTATTGTTTTTAAATTTTAAATCAAAGTGACTGTTGGCATGGAACTTGTAAATTGATTTTCAAATGGAAGTTCACAGAAAAGGTATTGGTTTGTGGATAATTAAACACTAATGGCAGTTTTAATTTAAATTCTAAGTGAAGTGGCGATGATAGTAGTATTAAAAAATTGGAGGTTACACTTGAGGAAATGGGGGTGGTTGTTGTATTTAAAAATTGGAGGTTATACAAGTGAGTGGAGAGGTAAAAATTTTAAAATGTTAACTTTCAAATGGATATTGAGAAGAACGTACAGCAACTTCCAAATCTCAATAGCAATTGATGATTATGGTGGTCACAATTAACTTTCATCCGACAAAATGGGCAGTTGACAAAAATGGAATTTAAAATGGTAAGTTGAATATTATGTGTAGAAATGTGGATGACGTAGTGGAGAAAACTGAAAATAAAAGAAATCGAGATAGTAGGATTGAATTTGGGGTTATTTGGTATAGTATAAAAAGTGTATCTAATTTTAAAATTTAAGAACTTTATAGAAGTAGCAAAATAATATAAAGTGTCGTCAAAAAACAATGTAACAAATAAAAATTTGTCGTTTAAAAGCGATTTTAACACCTTGTAAAATTTAAAAAAATCAATTACGCGAAACTTTACTTTCGTGACCAAAGTTTAATTCCGCATAGCTCTTTTGACGATCTTGGGCAGTTTTAATTCTTGATCTAATTTTATATATAGCCTCCACAGTCTTCTCGACCAATTCTGGACCCAAAAATTCTTCTTTCACCAACTTCATCCCAATATAATGGAGAACGACAACGTCTACCATATAAAGTTTCATATGGTGCCATGTCAATAGTGGGCTGAAAGCTATTATTGTATGCAACTTCAACCAACGACAAATGATCTTCCCATTTACCACCCAAATCTAGGACACAAGCTCTCAACATATCTTCAAGAACTTGGATAGTTCGTTCAATTGTCCATTAGCCTGAGGATGGTAGGTAGTACTAGATGTTAACATGGTACCCATAACTTTCTGAAGACTCATCCAAAACTTTGAAGTATACCTCGAGTCTCGATCTGATACAATATAAGTTGGAACACCATGAGGCTGCATAATCTCTCTGACATAAATTTGTGCGAGCTATTCTAAGCTATAGGTTGTCCAAACTGGAAAGAAATGAGCAGAATTCATAAGTCTATCCACAGTCACCCAAATCGCATCATGACCTCTCTCTGATCTAGGAAAACCAATGATAAAATCCATTGCAATCTTTACCCACTTCCATTCAAGTATGTCTATGGGGTTCAACGGCCTCGATGGCCTCTGATGTTTAGCATCACCTGACCTTACATTTGCACACAAACAAGGCTATCTTTCCCTTCATATTTTTCCACCAAAATGTATCACACAAATCTCGATACATTTTAGTTCCACCTGGGTGTGCAGCATAAGGAGTTGAGTGAGCCTCAGTCATAATTTCATTCTTCAACACTTCATCCTTCAGCACGCACATTTGACCTTTAAATATCAAGGCTTTGTCTTTGGCTATTTCAAATCCTTTCCTCTTCTTAATTCCCACATCAACCTTGATCTTTTCCAAAAAGGGATCATCTTTCTGAGCAGCTACTATTCTATCCCTGAGTGTCAGTTTCACAGTAAAATTTGCTAACATCGCTGATGTCCTTACTGGTGACGTTAATACTTCAATTCTCACGTTCTCAAAATCTCTTATTAAATGATCATGTCTTGTACACAGTGCTGACAACTGTCCCGTGTTCTTTCTACTCAGCATTATCAGCGACTACATTAGCCTTACTCGGATGGTACAAGATAATGCAGTCGTAGTCCTTCACTAATTCTAACCACCATCACTGTCTCATATTCAACTCCTTCTAGGTAAAGAAGTATTTAAGACTCTTATGATCGATGTAGATCTCACATTTGCTTCCATATAGGTAATGGCGCCAAATCTTCAAAGCTTGCACTACTGCTGCTAGTTTGAGATCATGTGTGGGATAATTCTGCTCATATTGCTTTAATTGCCTCGAAGCATAAGCTACCACTTTCTCGTGTTACATCAAAACACATCCCAAACCAAGTTCGGATGCATCACTGTAAATTACAAGACTTTTCGAACCATCACGAGTAGTCAAAACCCATGCAGATTCGAGCATGTCCCTTAACTCTTGAAAACTCATTCCTCCGTCCATACGAACTTAGTAATCTTTCAAGTCAATTGTGTCATAGGACCTACAATCTTAGAAAATCCTTCTATAAATCGGCAACAATAGCTGGCTAACCCTAGAAAGCTCCACACTTCTCCAACATTTGTAGGTTTCGGCTAGTTGGTTATGGCCTCAACTTTAGATTGATCCATAGCAATTCCTTGTGCTGAAATAGTATGTCTTAGAAATCCCACTTAATCGGGCCAAAATTTACATTTCTTGAATTTGGCATATAACTTATCCTCACTCAGGGTTTCCAACACTATCCTCAAATGTTCTTCATGTTACTAAGAATCTTTTAAGTATATCAGTATGTCGTCAATAAATACAATGACAAACATATCCAAATACTGATGGAATACTCTATTCATCAAATTCATAAACACCACAAGGGCGTTCGTCAAGCCAAAGGGCATCATCATAAACTCATAATGCTCATCCCGAGTCCTAAATGCCATCTTTCATATATCAACTGACTTAATCTTCAGTTGATGGCATCCCGACCTTAAATCAATTTTCGAGAACACAGATGCACCCTTCAATAGATCAAATAGGTCCTCAATCCTAAGAAGAGGATACTTATTCTTGATCGTCAATTTATTTAGTTCGCGATAGTCGAACACATCCTCATAGTACTATCTTTCTTCTTTATAAAGAGTACCGAAACTCCCCATAGAGATATAATCGGTCTATTGAACCCTTTGTCTAGAAGTTCTTCAAGCTGCATCTTCAGCTCTGGTAATTCCTTTGGTACCATTTGATATGGAGCTTTGGACACAGGAGTAGCTCCAGGTATCAAATCTATCGTGAAATCCACTTGTCTATCATGTGGAATACCCAATAGATCATCTGAAAACACATCGACATATTCTCGTATTATTGGCGCATCATCTAATACTTTCTCTCGAGTGGAGGTGCTTGTATGACTAATAAGATATCCTTGAAAATCAGGCTTCCTCAACATGCTCTCTACCTTTAAAGCTGAGGTGACGCGAGGAAGTGCCTTAACCTTCGATCAATAAAATTTGAACTCCTGTTCTCCTGGTCTTCAAAAATTACCTCTTTCTCAAAACATACTATAATGGCTCGATAATTACCTAATCAATCCATAACTAAAATAATATCGAAATATTTCATCTCCATAACATACAAATTCATCTCTAATAACATACAAGTCGGCCTCTAAAATCAGTCCATCAAGATTTATCATGCCCCCTTAACTCCCTAATTGTCCTAACTTGCCCATATTCCTATTTACCATAATAGTTGCAATCTCATTTAGAGAAGTCAATGATACTTGTGCAACATAGGAAAAAGATTTACAGCTCAACTTCTCTTATTATTACCTCAAATAATCCTTCAAGAGGAATACAAAGTAATAAAATGGCATCTGACGATAATCAATATGAAAGTAAAAGGAACCCTACTAGACATCAACAATAATTAAACCTAATAAAATCAACTAAAACTCCACTCTTCTATTCATCACTACCATCATTGTCGCTAGTCAAGAATTCATGAATCCTAGATTTCTTAGAGGATACGCCCCATCGTCTGAAATAGGTGGATGTGCATCTTCATGAATTTATATCTTAATAGGTACACTATCGTACTCGAGGATCGCAAGTCAGGCATCTCCCACTACTTAATCAACTTCATGCAAAAGGCCTCATGGTCAATCTCTGGAGATAAGGTAGGCACAACAATTCCCCATAAATAATCATAAATCAATTTAACAGTCTCTAACCACTCTTGTGGCAAAGTATCAATAAGAAAGTGGGTGGGTCGACGACCAGTGACCATATGGCCTAGTTGTCTCACCTCTCTCTACCTTTCTAACATCTCCCCAATGTGCTGGTCTATATTGTGCACTGGATTCGATACTCTTCATATTGTCTCACGATCTCATATCAACGAGACACCAATGAATGCGTCTTCCTATAAGTTTTCTTAGTTCGTACCATCTAAATCATACCAATTATTCAAAGTCCAATCAGTGTGGTATCTAATAAGTTTAGGTTAATTTTCGAGGACTTAATTAAACATTTAATGTGGTCACATTTCTCAAAATACTTGATGCAATAATGATTATCCACAAAAGGTATTCAACTCAAGCATATATTGATATTCATACATACATTTCAAATGTTGTATCTAAAATAAACTTTCTCATAATCATCACATAGATACAAGCATACTCATAAAACTTTCTTTACTTCAAAATCGGCGAGTCGCGACTATGGCGAGCACAGTGTTCAGGATCCTCATTAAAAAAAATTTGATTGACTTTATATGTGACACAATACACTAACGATAGAGTGTTTAATGCAAGTCTGCAGGAAACAAAACCATGATCTAATACCAAGTTGTAACGCCCCGAATTTTCGAAACCCGAAGCGTTAAAAGTAAATCATTTTTTTTTTGTTTCGACCCCTTTGATGTATCCAAAATAATTTGTAAATTAAAAGTTTTTGGATTTTTGAAACATATGGAAAATAATGAGAGAATTTTGTCCATGTACACTTAGACAATTATGGTAAAATTTGATTTTTGGGAAAATAGTTGGGAAAAATATAGTAAATACGGGTTGCACAATAGTAGAAAGAAAAATATGTTTGGTCTAATAAACGATGACTAAAAATTATGAAATTTTAACAGAGGTCTAAGAATTCATATATGTATCACACATAAAAATTTGGGGGTCTCGAAGATAACGTTTGAAGCACGAAAATATTGCTCGATTATGCTGGATAGAAAACTCGGATTCGACACGATGCAGTTTACTAAAACGGGCATAACTTTACAATATTTTTGAAAAATTCCAAAGTCCACCATTAGAGGACTTATAGACCTTTCAAACCCAACTAATTTCACTTTAAAACATGCACTATATCCCAAGTTATACTATTTTCAAATGCAAAGGCAGAATCTGAAATTTTATCCCAGCATAAAATAAAACTTCATACAAATCAATCCAACACTTTTAAATTCTGGTTAACATGCATTCTCAAAAAAGGGGGATGAAGTAAACATTAAAAAAAGCACTTCTAAAAGTGTCATCTAAGTTTCCATAAAATATCTACAAAATGGAAATTTTTACGAGAAAGTGAAAGCATTTCAGATCATCGAACACTTGCCACTATGCCAACCACTGCCATGCCTCGATCTTAACCTGTAAAATTTTTAGAAGGGGTGAGTGCTATAAATAATACTCAGTAGGTTACACTTAAGTAAATGGTAAAAACATATATTTTCAGAAATGCAAACTTTAATTGATTGTGTCACCGTCAATTTCAAGGGAATTGGTGATCAATCAAGTCGTTTACTTGTAGGTTTTGATAACCCCATTTCATTTGTCATAATCATCTCTTTATATAAACCACCAAATGGTGATTCCATTTTTTTGAGCAGTCCATTTCTTGTGTAAACCACCAAACGGTGATTCTATCATGAGTAACACAATATCAAGTTTAACACAAACGAAAACATATAAATCTTACATCATTTACAAAAGTGTCGAAACACCCCTACCTTAATGCTTGGAGTCTGAAATATCCTTTCGTGTCCAAAGAATAAAATCCAGCGTACTTCTTGTCCTTTTCTTTAAAAATTTCAGATTCAAAGTACTTCATGTTAATGAAAGAAAAAATAAAAGGCAAAATAACTTTATGTAGGAGTATAATAGTTTGGGCGATAAAACATGGCTAAAGGAGGTGAAATTCGGTTTTCACAATACCATAATATGGCTTGTAAAACATAAAGGGACGGGTTTCTTTCTTTCTTCCTAGGGAGTGGCCGTGTAGTTTCTTTTCAAGAATGGTAGCAATTTCTTTTATCAAGAAATGGAAGCGGTTATTGTTTTTAAATTTTAAATGAAAGTGACGGTTGGCATGGAACTTGTAAATTGATTTTCAAATGGAAGTTCACAGAAAAGGTATTGGTTTGTGGATAATTAAACACTAATGGCAGTTTTAATTTAAATTCTAAGTGAAGTGGCAGTGGTAGTAGTATTAAAAAAAATGGAGGTTACACTTGAGGAAATGGGGGTAGATGTTGTATTTAAAAATTGGAGGTTATACAAGTGAGCGGGGAGGTAAAAATTTTAAAATGTTAACTTTCAAATGGATGTTGAGAAGAACGTACAGCAGCTTCCAAATCTCAGTAGCAATTGATGATTATGGTGGTTACAATTAATTTTCATCCGAAAAAATGGGCAGTTGACAAAAATGGAATTTAAAATGGTAAGTTGAATATTATGTGTAGAAATGTGGATGACGTAGTGGAGAAAACTGAAAATAAAAGAAATCGAGATAGTAGGATTGAATTTGGGATTATTTGGTATAGTATAACAAGTGTATCTAATTTTAAAATTTAAGAACTTAATAGAGGTAGCAATATAATATAAAGTGTCGTCAAAAAATAATGTAACAAATAAAAATTTGTCGTTTAAAAGCGATTTTAACATGATGTAAAATTTAAGAAAATCAAGTACACGAAACTTTACTTTCGTGACCAAAGTTTAATTTGAACTATTAGAAAGTGTCGTAGCGACATAATAATATAACCC